AGGTATTAAGTAACCTGTAAAAGGGGAATAAGTATATACCATCCATATGGGCTGTGAATCACAATGAGGGATAATTAAATATAGTGGACTATGGACCTTGACATCAAGAATTTTTGAGTGCATTGACTGCTAATAAATAACGTTGTCTAATTGTTCTTTACATGTCCCATAATAAAGACATTGTTGCTTACCGATGATGTTTTCTTTTTGGGTGAGTGGAAATTTCTTTTGTCAAAAGATTAAAAATCTTATATTTCAATTTAAATTCCTTGTAGGATCATACTCTCTTCTATCCCCCGTTTTTGGACAAATTATTACCAAACTGAGAAAGAAAGGGCCCATTGCCACAATCATAAGAAATTCAGAGTGCAATGTGAGACTTTGAATGTTTGAAAGGATAAAACTCTATTGACTAAATTTGTTTACCAAATCTTGCATTATAAGTGATGTGTCAAAATTTCATGTATTGAATATTTGATGGAGTTAGTAGACCCCACTAATCCAACCCACCTGCATTGATTTGACATACAAAATTTGATCAGCATAGTATTGCTCTCTTTGAAATGATAAAGTATCAAATTTAAATTTTTTTAGTGAAAAAGTTTCATTTGCGCTTTGTTTTTCTCTTTTGCCCTTTTAGTTGCAATTCTAGGGATCTATTAGAAATAAATGGCTTCTTAACTTATTTTGTTTTATGTGCAGGTCAAATCATAAGATAGAAGCAAAATTTTTTTTTTTTTTAATTTGGAGGATTACAAAACTCTTAAACCTACAAGATATACATTCAGTGACATATTAGGTGAAGGAGGTTATGGAACTGTTTACATAGGAAAACTTTGTGATGACAGTTTTGTTGTCGCGAAGGTCCGCAACAATGGAATGGGAAATGGGAATGTGTTCATCAATGAAGTTGCAACAATTGGAAGAATTCACCATGTCAATGTGGACCATTTGGTTGGTTTTTGTGCCGATGGATTTCGACTGGCTCTTGTGTATGAGTTTCTTACAAATGATTCAATGGAGAAGTTCATGTTTTCACGAAGCTCTTCACCAAGGATACGGGCAAAGAATCCTTCATTTTGACATTAAATGTTGGGATTTAATACGATTTAAATCCACTAACAAACACACACAATCGAAGAACAAATTAAGAATATAAAGCAATAAGAAACAAGAAAGAACGAGACACAGATTTTACGTGGTTCGGCAATTTGCCTACGTCCACGAAGCTGCAGGGATTTCACTATTGAGAAAGTTGAATACAGAGAGCGGCTGTACAATCCACAATTAACCCTAATCACCAAAACAACAGGGTTTATATGTCCTACGCACTGGGCTGTATAACGGGCCTAAAAATTTTTCCTCGGGGGCGTTGCCCCCGAACCCCCACAAGGCTTGTCTATGAGCACTACGGCTTGAGCCTATCGGCCCAAGCTTTCGCTCCATGAATTAAGCCTCAAAAAAATTTCCATTAAAAAACCACACAACATTATTTCGAATCGGGTCATCATCCGGATCACGTATACAAACTAAATTCCAAAAAAACCAACATTAAACTCAATAAATATCTTGTTTAGACCACAACTTCAATCTAAATATATCTAATTTTGGTTTGACCAAGTTGTGTTCAAAAGAACAAAGCATCGTCTCTCTAGCTACCGCTACGGAGACAATGGGCTACATAGCACTCAAAGTGTAATCTAAAAATTTTGGGAAAGTTTCATAGAAGTTGGATGTTTATAGTTTTGGAATGTTGTTACTAAAAATAGTTGGAGCGAGGAAGAATGTCAATATGCAGTGAATAATACTAGCCAAACAAACATTCCGGAATGGCAATACAATCAGTTAAATGAAGGAGAAGGGCTACCAATTCGGGGTTGAAGAAGATGGAGATGCTATGATAATAAGAAAGATTACTGTAATTGGAATCTAATGTATTCAGTAGAATCCAATAAATTGTCCTTCGGCGAAATTTGTGATTCAAATGCTAGAAGGAGGAGAATATAAACTGACCATGGCTCCTATTCCTTTTATTGGTACAAGTTCATCAGAAGTAAATGCAAAAACATCTAGAAGATCTATTTAGCAAGAGTTAGAAGTTATTATAGAACTCAGGGGAAAAGGCGAAGTCAACAGTTTGTCAATATAACAATGATCTACTTGTACTAAACCATTTATGTATTGTTATTTAGCCTCTTAAACTTTGTATTTGTGAGAAAATTGATGGCTTATGGGAATATTACGATTTCCTACCATGTAATAGTTGTAATAAGTGCTCCAAAATAAATACTACAACACTATTTCTAGGGGTAAACTTCATACGGACCCCCTTGGCCTAAAGCCAAATGACACAATGGCCTCCTGACATTTCAAAAATACCATAAAACCCCCTTACATTTATAGCACGTTACATATACCCAACTGTTTAACAATCGTAGAAACCAGAATGAAAAGCACTCACTTCAGGATTTAAAAATCAAATATTTTCAAAATTACCCTTCTTTGACCAAAACAACTTTTACAAGAAATTTTCACTCACCACTTTTCAAACCCTACCTTTTAAACATAGATTACTTTAGAAACCATCTCTCTCTCTCTCTCTCTCTCTCTCTCTCTATTTACAAGCTTCAAATGTTCAATAAAATGTGCAAGGTACATTTTCTCTCTAGATACTCCCTTTCTATTCTCCAAGATACAGTAACTGGCTTATATACACATATGTAGATGCATGTTGGTGTTATAACAGAGAGAACAATGAGTAAGACAAAAGACATAATCAGAGGGGGTTTGTATGTAGTTTGTTTATATCATAGGGGGTCTGTGTGGAATCTAAGTTAATAAAATTGATGTAACACTGTCTTGACTTATGATTTTGATATTCTGTTTCACATTGGTACCTCAAGAAGTTTAATGTATTCTTCAAGTAGAAGTAAAGTTGTAAGTGAACATGGCACATGAAAACATGGATTAGATATTTATTGAAAAATAATGGTACCTTGAGAAGAAAGATGCTATAGGAATAGTAGACTGGAAAATCTGACTAAAGGAGAGTTGTACTTCTTCTGCAACAAAGGATCATGAAATTGCTTTGCTCGGTGGCATCCTCAAGGCAGTGTAATCAGTCCAATTAAGCAAGATGGAATCATGCCAATCAATGGTACTTCATACGTGGAATACTTTGAATACTCCACACTAATAAGAAGGATTTTGGTTAAGGAGGGCAACCATAAACTTCTCAAGTCTGATCATTGTATTGTTGGTTTTGTTTATGCTGCAACTATTGATTATGATTATTAGTATACCTTAAGATTTATCTTAAATAAGTAGCTAAAATCAAATGCAATTTCTTGTTGATTGTACCGCTAAACATGAAATTAACAATAAATGCATAATACACGTACTTGTTATTACCTATAACTTCACGATCAGCATTACACAATAGAGCAGCAATTACAAATTATGCCTTAAGGCTAGTTGCACCCAAAAAAAAAAAAAAACAAGCACAAGTTTAGTAGTACACATCCATCCACCGATACAAGATTCTATAACAAGAAGGATGAAATACATCAAAACGAACTTTTGGTGCCTTTTGTTGTCTGAGATGAATGTCCATTGCTTCGTAGTATCCAGATCCCATAACTATCTAACCTTTCACTTTTAATCACCCCATATGCAAGTGGAAATAACCCAGTATCCCTATCAAGTGTTATTACTGACACAAGTACTTCCCCATATGCCTCTTTAGATGACATCCATCCATCCTAATGAAGGTTTTATAACCTACTCTAAATCCTTTAATCATGCAATAGATGAGATAAAACACCATTTCAAGATTGAAATAGAATTTACTGAAGCCTTGAAGTAATCAGTAGGAAATGCACTAAGAGGGTTTCTCTGCCTCACTTCCCTAGCTTGTGCAGGCAGTAACTCAAAAGACTTGCCATGATTCCCTTCTAGTTGTTTCATTTCCCTTTTTGGACATATACAACAGGCTTTCATTCATTTCAAACTTCCACCTATCTTGGCGTTCAGCTTGTACAATCCGAGGATAATGTTTGGATTATTTTTTAATTTGGATTTTCATCTTTTTTGCAATCCAATGAGAGTTTGTCTCAACCTCCAGGGCAGCAAAGTGGTTGGTGCACCTCCCAAATCCATCAGAGGGGTCCATATCTAGATCACATGGAGCGGGATCGTGAGCGAGAGCGAGATCACGGGAACGCAAAATTTCAAAAATAATTGGGAGCGGGATTGTCATTGAGAGCGTCAAATTTATATATTTTACTTTATAATATACATTAGAAAACAGAATGTCAAAATACCAAAAAAATAAGATCAATTAGTAATGATAAAGAAATAAAAAGGTCACTCCCACATTGGTAGAGTGTGTGTACTTTGAATGGCAAGACACCATATATAATACAATACCTCTGTCCGGTTGTCTCACATAGGTAGAAAGTTAAAGAGCTGAATGGGAAGTAGGCTATACAAGCCAGCTGTGTTGTTGGCTTTGTTGGCAAAGACATGGTTTCTTCTATTGGGTCATAGTCCATTTGTGTATGATGAAAAGTGCTTCTTGGGTGTAACCAATTTACTAAGTAAATATTAGGTGTAACCATTTAATAAGAAAAGAGCAAAAAAGATAAAATATGACAAATTTTTTATCATAGATTATGTATTACATAATATAAACAATTTTTCCAATTTATTGAGGAGCATGCCAATAATAAATTTTGAGTTATGTTTTTTCCATCACATGCATTTTTATCTTGCTCGAGTTTCGTCTTTTTTTTTATTTTTTTTTGGGGGGGGGGGGGGGGTGGGTTTACATAAATGGCTTGTAGACTCTAGCTAATCTGCAAAACCCATGTCGAGCCTATGGCTAGGAAATGACGAGTAGTAATCCACACCTGTAGAGAAATTCACCATAAAACTTAATTTCGTACCTGCATCATCAATTAGCCTGAATATATTGGCAGGGGCCACAAGGCAGTATAGAATAGAGCAAGAGCAATATAATTGATATATAATTTAGGAATATAATTATTGTGACGCTTAGATTATCAGTGAGTCTCAGTATTAAAATGCACTCCATCATTGATACAGGTAGTTCCATCTGCCACCACATTTTAAGTTCTAAATGTCAAATACATTAAGGGGTTTATTGGTTCATAAGCTATCGCAACGCAAGGACTGGAAAGGGAAAACCAAACCAGTTTGGTAAATACATAAGCTGGTGTAAAGTAGAACTCTCTGGAAGGGTTCATAAAGGAAGTTCACCACTGTCTGCAACCACGACTTTGGTTTTGGGTGTTCCGCTCTGGTTTCCTTCAGCTTCAATCTTGTAAACGACGTCCATTCCGGATAGCACCTTCCCAAAGACAACATGGCGGCCATCCAACCTGCAGATGAATAGGTAATTGAGTTAATGAAATTCAAAAGATTTGTGGTCGAAAAATGGCACCTGACTCATGAACAGACCAGACTTGGAGCATCCCTTGTGGATAACTAGGACAAATGAGTCCTGCTACCATGCCGCTCCACAGATTAATACATAACAAAAAAAATCCTATAGGACGGAAAAAAGTTAAACATGCTTTGATCTTCTTAATTATCATCTATAAGTGCATTTGTGGTTACCAGCTGGTTGTCACAGTTGTGATGAAGAACTGAGAACCATTGGTGTCGAGGCCAGCGTTCGCCATTGACAGAAGCCCTGCACGGACAAGAAAGAAACAACAAGACCACAAGTTATTCAATGACGGAAGATAATGAGCATGAAGCATGCAACAGAAGTAAACTTGCACTTTGTTCAGCCTAATCTCAATATATATCGACAAAAATGTTACCTGGTCCAGTATGCTTGAGCTTGAAATTCTCATCAGCAAACTTTTCTCCATAGATAGATTCCCCACCTCTTCCATCACCATGGGTAAAATCACCGCCTTGAAGCATAAAGCTGGGAATGATTCTATGGAAGGTGCTACCCTTGTAATGAAGAGGTTTCCCACTCTTTCCAACACCTTTCTCCCCTGAGATGTCAAAATGCTAAGTTTGAAACTGACTTGGGGACAGATTATATACCAGGACAAGATTTTTTTGATAGAAAACAATGATTTTATTAATAGTAAGAATGGATGTGGCAAAAAATGAAGAGAAAAGTTGGACAAGATGTCCAACCGCATTACAATACATCAAAAAGGCACTACATGTAAACCATAAAAGCAAATATTCAGATAGATGACTTCCGCGCACACAACAGTCTAACATGCACTAATTCCAAAAAGAGATAGATTTGCAAACTCCTTCAAGATAAAGGATCCATCTTGGACTCCAACTAAATTTTGCAAAAGGAGCTACACAAATTTTCATGTAGTTTACCTAAACTTCTCCAAGAAATGTACAGTTTTTCTAATTTGGTATTTCTCATGGCACTTTAGCTGTTTTGCATGACACAATTATTTAATATATCATCTCAGGCCGATACAACTTTGTTAAATTGAGTAGAGTACCTCATTTTCAGGTCAAGAAAAATGAAAATAAACAACTATATTTTGATTTGAGCATTGACATGCAAACATCAATATGGCATCAATGAAAGGCTAGGCAACTAAGTAAATGGAAAGGAGATGTTATCAATTTACCTGTGCATAGTGCTCTGAAATTTTCTGCAAGAAAAACAAGGGAAAAAATCAAAGGTTAAAATGAAGAAAACCATCATATCTAACGACAATTTCCTATTTGATTATGCTATTATACCTGCTGTTTTAGGAACTGCTTTCCCGAAGAGCCCCATCACAATACGTCCTGAAAAGAAAAGATATGATTTTACGGCACCAATATAAAGCATAAATTCCAAAGTACCAAAGATTAATTTATTACTCAGGAATGTAGGTCTCATCTAACATATGAGTTGAAACTCAAAAAATCTCTTTGCAAACATAAAAATTCTTAGCAGCCCACATGGCACTTGCATATTATTAAGAATTGTGGCCTAAATGAGCAGACAATTCGAAGGCAATGCTTAATTTTGCTGCAGGTTTAAAAATGATATGATTTTAGAAACTTGTGCATAAAGGTAGTACATAATAACTGACATACCAGCTGGTTTTCCAGCAATCTCAACATCAAAGTAAACTTTATGAGTTACTTCTTTCAAATCTTCGTTTGACTTCTTTGCCTGCAAAATAAATGAATTCATAAATAGAAAAAAGAAGCATATTTTTTTCAATCTATAAATGACTTCACAAGTAAAATGACAAGAGCAGGGTATTCTAACAAAGAGTTTTCAGTTTTAACCCAAAAATAAATGTTAAAAAAAATCAAACTGAACAAATCCTTTGTCTCATATGAAGCTATTCGATCCTGTTAGTTGGTTACTATGCTTGTTCGGGGTTGAGTCCAAATTTCATTAACCCTAATTTCAGGAAAAAAAAATTGGATGCTACAAACCACATGAAATATTTGCAGTAGTGATTCTAGTATGTCCTATTGGGTAAAACTGATGACGAAAATATATGATCCAATAACTACAAGTTTCAATCTTGATCTGAAATCGTAAAACCAAACAAAGACATGGAACTGAAAAATAATAAGAAAACATGAATCAACTCACCTCACCTCACCAATCTAATTACAGTTCTGGAATCACATATCAGATTCATCAAACCACAACAAAAAAAAAAAAAAATTGGTAGATCCAAATTTAAACCTAACTAAATTACTAGCAGAGCTATAACTATGACCAGTGAAATTACTGAATACAAGTTCAAGAGTTTGGTATGGTACCTGAGTGAGAGCTAGGGTTCCTAACAGGACTAGGCTGCAAAGAAGTGTCACCGAAAACAACTTCGCTCTCGCCATCTCTGTCTCTTCTACTCAGGTCTCAAGTATCCACACCCCACTGTGCTCTGCGTCCAAAAAGTTAGAAAAGGGAAGGCATCCAAAAAGTTGGCACCACCCTAAAAGCAAGATAAGATTGTTGTATTTGTGCAAAATCCATGATGCTATTCTAAATCATTATATAACTATAGGGTATGCCCTGATAGCATCAACATCAAGGAAACAGGCATTACCAAGCAAGAATTGTAATACAATTATTCAAAAACACACGTAATATTCAATTTCAATTCCAAAAGAGGATCATCATACATTAAAATGAAGCAAATAGCTTTGACAAATTTCAATTTACATTCCTGTCACCTCTGTGATTATACATGTGCTATGATTCCCACTGGTTCGATGTTTGATGTTTTCAAACCATTAATTCCTTCCACTACGCACTACCCAACACCACCATAGCCACCCACCATCATACATCTCAAATGCTACCCACCAGCACCCAATACCTCTGACCACAACCACTAATCACCCAAGCTCCTTGCCACCACAACTCAACACCTCCACAAATTTCAAACAATCACTGCAATGCCAGAGGGATTATTTCCCATATTTCTGTACATTGCAGTTAATAATATATTTTTGTTTCCAAATCGTAACCAAAAATCGGTAACATAGTACATTTGTACCAATATCCATTATATCTACACTCATGGAGGGCCCAATTTTGGCTACACAAACTTGCAGCCAAGGAAGCTCGATTTTTCATGGATAAATTTGAAACAGAAAATGGATTTGTCATTTAATTTATTCAGTAGAATTCCAAGATGTTAGAAGAAAAGGGGGAACTGAGTTTAATGAAAACAATCCCATAAAAATTCAAATCTACCAAACATCTGGATCGTAAAACAATTTTTGACAATACATCACATTATATATCAAATGGAAAATACAAAAAGCATTTCCTCCTGATTGTTGAGAAAATACAGGAATAAAAATGAAAAAAAAAAAAACAACCAATAGTCGAACCAGAGAGAAGGCTGAGAACTCAAAATTTTGATTCTATAACAATAGGCCAACTCATATGTATGTTTTCGACTTCCAAAATTTTGATATATAGTCCTTTAGTTAACCAATCTCCAGTAATTAACCAAATCTGAAATTAGTTCCATTTTCGCAAAATCTGAAATCAGTGAGTTCAGTCCACAAAATCTGAAAATATGTCTATTTTCGCAAAATCAATAACAAAAATAGCAGCACAAACCAATCACTAGAATTTATAGATGTTGCTGGTCAACGATTAACAAAAGAGAGAAGACAGAGAGAGAGAAGGCAGAGAGAGAGTAAAGTATGGGTTACCTGGTCACTGGTCAGCTATCAGCGAGAGAGGGAAAGAAGGCAACGTCGTCTTCTTGGTGGTGGGTAGTCGGAGATCGTTAGTCGCCGAAGGTAAGAGAAGAGAGAGGAGGCGCCTGAGTGAGACTGTGAGTGAAGGCAGCGAGACGGCGTCTGATTTGAATTAGGGCTGAGTGGTTAGGATTTAGGTATATTTCCTATTTTATCCCTAATTACTTTCGTAAAATCAATTATACTCACTTATACATCTTTATATAATTTATGCTTTTTACAGCTCTTTAAATTTCAATTTATTTTAAACTATTTTATAAAAACTTCTAAATTTTTTTAAATTAATTTATTAGTAATACATTTACATATAATTTTTTATATCTATATGAAAAAATAAAGTCATATATATATTAAATTATTATACACATATAATTAACAAATTAAATTCTAAGGTCCAATATATGTCATATTTTTTATTTTTTTGGCATACAATAATATAATAATATTATAAAAATCTAATTAATATATTTTAACAATATAAAAATTAATAATTCTATAATATAATTAGATATGTAAATGTCTAAAGAGGTCTAAGAGATACCAAATAAATGAAAATTAAATATTCAAAAACTTATAGAATAAATCAATAATTAAATTTTATAATAATTAAAATAAAAATTAATTATTCAACACCTAATTTATTATTTAATTTAAGGAAAATACTCTTTATACCTAATTTAATGCCCTTGTCTAGTGACATGACAGATTATAAACATCCCAATGTCAATCTAATGGTAGAGAATGATAATATCACCAAATAAGATTACTAAATAAGGTTTATGTAGCATTGCCCTAAATTTAATTACAATAATATTATGATTGATAGATTATTCATTTTTTAAATTAGGATCGATAGCGGATATTTATGGTCGGTCCTATTATATTGGGGATGAAACTCACAAAAATCATAGTCAGAGGATAAAAGTGCAATTAACTCATTTGTTAAATTAGGATTGATATTGAATATTTATGGTTGATCCAAATTTGGGGTTGTGTTATAAGCTTTATGAATTTAGTTATAACTTTTTGGGGGTGAAATAACAACTTTGAGGGTGAGTTTTGGAGCGGCCCAACGTTATTAGGGGCCTTGGGCGAAATGTTAAACAAGGTCTCATTAATATATATACTTGATTAATATACATAATATTAAATAATAACATTTAATAAATGTTGTTTATTTTTTGAGATGCTAAAATATTAATCAAGATTTTAAATTGATATTTTACTAATAAACAACTTTTAATATATAATATAGCTAATTTTTTCACTTTTTCTGATTAACATAATTAATTTTAGATAAAATTTTATCAATTTATAATTCAAAAAACTTTCTTCAAGTAGCATAAATTCATAATGACATTATTTACAATATACAATAAGTAATGGAGGCAATTGAAAAATAATCTAATATTTTTATGTATCACTATATCGTTGTTTCCATTTATAATTTCTACATATAAAAGTTCTTAAGACTTTTTCGTAAAAGTAAGTTAAACTATAAAATAAGTCACGTTTAAAAAAAAAAAATCAAGTTTAAGATCATATTTTTTCAAAACTTTCATCACGTAAAGAACTTAATCTTTTAAAACTAAATTAAGAGTCAAAAACATTTTATCTATTTTTAATATTTTAAACCTATATTGGATTAAAAGAATAGTATGATTTCTATTTAAGAATATTTTTCTTGTTGATAATTTTGTTTTTAGCGCTCCAGTTATTTCTTTTTTAATATTAACAATTACTTACATTGTATGGATTTGTGTGTGTGAAAGAGAGAGAGAGAGAGGGAACTTATGTATGTGTGACATTTTTTTTCATCAGATGTCTGACACATTGAAAGATACTCGGTCTGACTGTCTGAGAGATTATTAAAAGTAATAAAACAATTGTTGAGCCCTTTTTGGACAATGGGTTATTGTGTAACGTAATGGTAAAAACCTATTTTATAATTTCATTAGGTCATTTGAGTTCAAACCACCCCTATTATAAAAAAGGAAATTTAGAGGCTGGTCCCCTATATAGACTTGTTTGGACTTAAATTCGTTAAAGAAATTTATTTGTTATGAAGTCCGTTTTTTGTCAATTTTACCATACTATCTATTCTCTTTAGAAATGAAATAAAACTAAAAATTAAAAATTTATAAATCTTAAGAGTTTGACTAACATTAAAATATTTTATCTCTCATATCTATCTATATTCATATATAGGTTAAGAGTTTGACTAAGTAATATTTAAACATAAAAAAATTGAAACATTCAATATTAATATTTTTAAAAAATAACAATAATAACATGTTCAACAAAAAAAGTAACATGCTTAACAAAAATTGTAACATACTTAACAATAATTATTTCTCTCAAATTCAAACGCAAAAAATAGTACTATTCAAATACAAAAAATAGTAATATTCAAAAAAAAATAGTAGCATTGAATATTAATAATTAAGAAAATAATATTAGTAACATGCTCAACAAATACAGTAACATGCTCAAAAATCATAGTACATAAACAGTAACATACTTGACAAAAGCAGTAACATAAACAGTAGCATAATAAAAAAAAAAGTAGCATGAATTTGAATTTTACTATTTAAATTCATAGAAAGGAAAAATTTTAATATTAGTTAAACTCTTAACGTATATATGGATATAAATAGATATGAGAGAGAAAAGATTAACTTCCTTTTAAAAAAAGGTATTTTTAAGATAAAAAAAAAAGTTGACTTAACTCATTGCATATAATTTTAAATATGGACTTAGCTCTTTATAAGTTTCCTTGTAGGACTTATCTTCAAATAAATACATCTAGGTAAACGGTATTTTGGATTTTGATTTTGTAGTCGATCCCAACTCCATCTTTGATTACTATTTCAGCAGATAAACGGTATTTCACACTGTGAAATGATCAACGGCTAGAAAACTAAAAATATTAAATCAATGATGTCAATTACTTGGGTGCTATAGTACCGAAAAACACACTTTGGTATTGTAGAATGACCTGTTTAATTGACTTGTGCAAAAACTACGATATCATTGCTGGTAGCTATTCATTGGATTTGACTAATCAAATCGAATCTTATGTCCTAATCATTTAAAATAAGTTATATGAGTTTATTTTCGTTATTTATTTCGATCATACGTTATATGCTTATTTTAAGTTAAGTATTTTCATAATTTTTTTTTATTTTATTTAATATTAATTTAAGTTTACCCCTACTTCTAGTACTATTAAGAGAAATTCTATCACTTTTTTGAATCGGTGCCTTTATCAACCTACGTTGAACAGGACCATACCATCTTAATATATTCTTTCTTAACTTATCCTCAATTGGAGATACTCTCATTATTTCTCTAATACAGTCATTTCATATTTTATCCTTTTTAATTTTTTCACACATTTATCTTAACATTCTCATTTCCGCTACACTTATTTTGTCACTATGTCGTTTTTTAGTTGCCCAACATTTCGTCTAGTATAACATTGTTGTCCTTATAGCTGTTCCGTAAAATTTACCTTTTAATTTTATTGGTATCCTTCTATCACATAATATATCAGAGGCTTTGTTCCACTTATGCCAACAAGTGTTGATTCTATGAGTTACATCATCTTTAATCTCTCTATTATTTTTAATGATCGGTCCTAGATATCTAAATCGTTTATTCGTTTGTATTTCTTGATTTTCAATCTTAACTTATTCACTATGTTTACTTATTCGATTACTAAAATTATATTGCATATATTCACTTTTGCTGTGAGACCCAATCACATATTGCATGCATATTAATATAATTTTGTGGGCTAAATTATAATTATGTAAAATTATTAAAGGGTTAATTAAATTAAATCTTTCATAGCTATGATGTATGTGAGCATACATTGGATAGGTGAACCCCATGAGTGATGTATGAGTGAGACGATTTATAGAAATTTCATGTGTGAAAATATTAGTGGGTCGAGTTCGAAATCATTTAATAACTTAGGGGGAGGCAAGGGTAATTAACCCATTACCTTTACAGGTGTTGACATGTTAAAAATCTATATATATATAGATAAAAAGTGCGTGTGTGTGTTCTGGTTTTGGGCTGAAGCCGAGAGAGAGGAGAACAAGAGAGAAAAAGGGGGAAAAAAAGAGAGAAGAAAACGGCAAGAAAAAAAATATATACATGCGTGGGTCTATTTGAACCGTGAGTAAGGAAGGTATGTGTGACTCAATTTAATCATACGTTTTGATTAATTTTAATATATATGTTATTATACATGTATGGGCTATTTTAGCATGTTTTATTGAGTAGACTATTTTAATTTAAATTTGAGTTTAATTAAGTGTATTACACAAAATTAATTAATTAGTGGGCTATCTTGTGTACAAATGATGGGCTGTTTTACGTTATGATCAAAACAAATTTTTTTTAGAGTTTAATTAAGTGAATTGAGTCCACTTAAGGGGCTGTTACAATGGGGTGTAATGGGTGTTCAACTCGGGTATAAGAAAGAAGGAAAAAAAATGTGAAAAATGAATATCGAAAAGCTTTTAGCGAGCTAGGGTGAAAACGAAAATTATGGGAATGAAATGAGTGGTTTAAAGGGCCAATTAGGGGCTATTTTGTATTGATTAAATGTGTATGTAAATTTAAGTGTGACGATTTTAAATAAAAAGTGTGAAAAAAGAGTATCGGTAACGCCAAAATCTTAATTTCTAAATGTTATTATCACTTGTGCGAATTTTAGTTCGAATGACATAAAATTTTGCATGTAGCATTTTTAAATAATGCTTGATGTGATAAAGTGACTTTTGAATGCCAATGAGTACAATATCCTGTGCGAAATGCATGAAATACCGGAAGTGCAGTTTTTAGGATTCGGAGTCTAAATGTGTGAAAATGGGCCCCCGGTCAATGTGTTTGATCTGCTTAATCCTAACTGTGATTAATGTGATTGAATTTGGAAATTTAGAGAAAAAATGTAATCCCTAGAACAAAAGTGCTAGTGTGTGAATTGATAGGACGGTAACCAGAGTTACCAGGGCACTTTGGGGTGCATCATTTGCATGCATTAGTGCATGATTAATTATTAAATTTGATAACCATATTGATATTGTAATTACAAATGTATTAGGTGAAA